GGAAACACGCCAATGCAATACGTGCGCCAACAAAGAGTCCTGTGTTGAGCCACTGGCCTTATTAGACGGCCTTATAAGAGGCATGATGAAGGCAAAATTAAATTAGACATAGGTAACAATTCAGGTCCCAACACTAAACCCTGGGGTACGCTTGTGGCAATACTTTAAAATGAATGAAATTATTGAATGTAATTGAAGTCTGGGTAGTATAAAAATAATAATTACATGTAGTATAAAGATTGAAAGTAAACATTGTAATTAGATAGAACATTTTTATCTGTAAACTAGACTTAATCAAACGTTTCACAAAGATTAGCATTGGTGCTTGTATCGAACTACTGTATGCCTATGTCGTCATTCATTTCAAGAGCAATTAATAAAGAAAAATGCAATGGCCACAGCGTTTTTAAAACCGTTAAAGATACAATACGTGTTAATTTGACATCATTAAATCGTTTTAGATATTGATGTCTGTCAATAGAACTGCGTGAAAATGTTTCCCATATGCGTGTCAAGCATAAACATAGCTCGCTCTGCCGGGACATTTCGTTTGGAAGCACGCCAACGCAATACGTGCACCAACAAAGCGCCATGTGAGCTGAGCCATTGCCCTTATTCCGAGGGTAGGATGAAGAAAAATAAGGTAAGATATAACTAGACAAGGCACTGTAGTATATTATGGACAAGATGTTACTTTTGAAATTTTTCCAACATATAATGTGCCTACATACGAGTAAAATCGCTGAACAATAAGCCATTAACAAACCCTATAAACCTAGTTCAAAAGCGGAAATCAAGCAAGCTTTTCCAATGAATACACAAATATTTGTTTTGACAAGGGTCCAAATTCTCTGCGTTAAGGGAAACTCGCACACGTAATGTGTACCTACACAAATTAATATCAAAATATAATTTAGACTCAAAATTTTTGGACCTCGTGCAAAAAAATTAAAAGGATTGTATTCGGTGAAAGCTGATCAAAATTATTACGAAGTCGCCGACGTATTTATTGCTAACAATCCATAAACATCGATCGAACCTAATTTTGCAGCGATGTCTGATCAGTTCACCCCAATTCACGAATGCCTTTGATTAATGGTACAATGTTATTGACCCACGATACAAAGGTCAATCTATTCCTAGCTTTAAACCAAGGCCCACAAATCTAATCTTCCATTAAACCTCTTCATCCCATCGAGGTGTTAACACAATGTAATTTGACAATTCCTCGAAGCCATGCCTTAGCAGTTATTGCAGGGAAAGATTAATGACAAATTGACAATACCACTGAAATTACAAATGTAACACAATTGTCTTTTGGAAATGTATTCATAGCATTTAATCATATCAACGTGATCGCAATCCTTTCGTAAGTTTAACCTTATGATACTAAACGTACCAACGGCATTTTCATTCAATGATAATCTAAGATAATTTAAAATCATGCTAAAGCATTAAAAAGAAATCTAAACATTGATAATATTTTTATTACTCTCTAGATTTACGTACTATCTTTGTTATTCAATAAAACCTAACTAAGATATCCGATCCAGTAATTTTTTATCATTCNGGATGGTTGAATGAGCTTGTAATCAATCTCATCAATCAATCATCAATGCGGGGAGGGCGCGCGGGCGCACGCACTTGCCCATGGCTCCGTGAAGTTTTATTTCAAACATCGTAAAAAGTTACTTTTACCATATGAAAGTTATACTCATCGATTCGTCACCAAAAATGTGTAAATTGTACCATAAAAACATAAAAAACACTAAGTGATTAAGTGCTTTAAAATCAGTGCAAAGTTATCAACAGTCAACCAAAACAAACAATCGTTAAGTGCGGTTCTGTGTGTGACTCATCGAGTGGACTGTGTTCGAACTAGAGGTGGGCGCCACGCCGGCGCGCCGCCGCCACCGCGAATTTTTTCACGCCGCCGCCGCCGACGACCAGTTGTCGGCGCGCCGATACTGATACTGTACAAACTATTTGAAATTTATTCCTCTCCTATACTGTACTAATTTGTGTTTCAAACGCAGAAGAACTATTTTTTTATTGAGTTGAGCGGCTATTCTAGTTCACTAGAGTCCTAGTATCACTGCGACCGGTACCGATCTATTGTGATCGGTACCGGTCGCTTGTGATTGCCTCCGAGTCCTGCATCCATTANACCTATCGCCTTAAGAGACTAAGTTAAGTCATCTTTATGTAAAAAACAGATGCGTATTTTTACGAATGCTGGATTCCGAAAAAAATTACAGAATCCAACAAAATAACGGTTTGAAAATACTTATGGGTAAAATATACTAATAAGTAGGATTCGGAACGCATAAATTGTGAAACGCAAATGATAGGTACTTGTATCATTTTAACTGCAAAACAGTCTTTAAAGTTGCAATAAAAAAGTTTATTTTTACACATAAGCACATGTCTGCGTAAAAAAACATAAAGTTAACGAATAGCATTTTTTCATGTCGGTAATTTTCAATGCCGTTTCAATAAACCAGATCTTAAGTTAGTAATTTTGGTTCAAACTATCCTTTATTTTTCTTGTTCCCATTTTGACGATTGTTTTTATAACTATCCGAGAAGTGTATGGTGTAAGAGATCCCGACAGCTAGCTCCTTGGTTCGTGTAGTGTACATTTCGCCCTCAAGGTGGTAGGTCCCCGCCATCATGGGAACCGGCACGTATGGAGGAGGAATCTCCATGACAATAAAATTCGTTCCCTGGAAAAAAAATATCTTTCGTTTTTCTCTTGATCTTGAGGTAATTGCATTCTAGGTGAGCCATGATAGATTATGTCAATCACATCCTAAAATAGCAAGCAAGATCAGTGAGTTAGTAAGACTATTATAGCTAGGTATAATAAGCCTTATTACAAAAAAGTTAAGCACTCGTTGAACATTGGTGCAGTATGTGCAGAATGCAGTAAGTATCTTTGATACTTACCGGTTTCGCAGGGCATATTAATTTAATATGAACAGTTTTGAGATAAGACTGCATCCAGAACTGTTTGAAATAGTCGCACAGCTTGTGTTCAATTTTGTAACGCGTTCCCTTTTGGTTTATGAATATCCCCGCCTGAAATTGAGGTACCAAATATTTTTAAAGTTTCACATTAAAAGTACCTACTTTCACGAAAAAAACTGATCATGATTTACTTTTTGTAATACGGTTGAAAATTTCATTATACTTAATAGTAATGTAATAGTAGGTAAATGAGTTTATAATAACATTAAGGTTGAAGTACATTTTGACTACGTACACTGCCTTCAATGTGTGGTAAACATATTTTATGTGTACGGCGTATTTTTGTACTGAGATCAACTTAAAACACTACCACCGTTTTTGATGAACTAATAAAATTGCACACAAGTATTATTGGCTATGACTAAAGAGCTTGAATAGTGTGATTCTCAGATAGTTTGAGTAATCAAATATTCGTTAGTTTATTTTTGGAATAAACGACCATTGAGTGTACCTACGCCATGAATGTCCCGCTTTTAGGGTAAAAATGTCCGGCCATATTACGCGCCAAGTCCGGCTTTTGTGTTGGACCTGGCAACCCTACACTCACCAGGATATTAACATTACCCCTGGTATAGAAGAACAAATAATTTACCACAGTAAAATTGTTCCCAAGTGTGTCCACGTTGACGAAGGTGTGGTTGGTGATGAGTCGCTCCACCCCGTTCACCATCGTCGGCGTCGTCAGCACGTGACATAACGAGAAGTACTTCGGGTTGCAGCGAAGTAACTTGCCTATCCCATAGCTCTGTGTTTCCTACAATAAAAAACCCCATGATTTGTAGGTACTATGTTCGTTATGAGAAGAAAAATTTTACTTTAGATTATACTAAGTACTTATCACTTTATGTGACGAAATATGATTTTTACAAATCTGTTTGCTGATAAATAAGACCTTTTCTCGAATTCAAAAGTGAATTAGTTTAGTGACTCACCAAAGTTCACCGATCCAGACTTAGTCCAAAAAATACCCTAAAGCTAAACACTTGAAAACATTGAAGATACAAGATAATTCTGAGCATTGTAATAATTGAAAACATACCTTAGCCACACAAGTCACCACCGATATTGCTGTTGAGAAGATTAAAACTTCCAAAATACTAGAAGCCTTACCCACCATGGCTTACTGAATATTTGCACTAAATCATGTTCATGATAAACAAGCCATTAGCAAATCATTGTGAATGCAATCATTACATCAAAATCATTATAACGCCATTATAAAGCTTAATGTTTGAACTAAAGTAGAACAAGTTTAATAATAACCTGATGATAAAGCCATTAACGTCGGATGACCTAGTGGTTAAAAGCCGACCTTCCTATAAAGGTCTGAAGTTTAAGATTCTGAAATATATTCTTGAAAAAATCACGAAGACTCCACTTTTAATGTAACTGTACCTCTTGAAAGAGGCTTTAAAGTGAAATATAAATGCTAAAGTCCATCCATTTATTCTTTAGTGTATATTCCCACTATACAAACGAATAACAGGAATACGTGGCAAACTGATTATGTGATTTAAAGAAATACAAGATAGAATGCGAGGGTTTAACTGTAGGAAGACTCTTGCTACCTAATTGTAGTGTAAGTTTTTTGACCCGACCTCTCCGCCTTTATAAAGTCATTATCACCGACGTATAGACAAGAATACACTGTAGCTAGTTAGCTAATTTAGTTAGTTAATTTGACATAGTTAAATTAAAACTAGAAAGCTAGAGACTCTGTGATTAAAATAGAATAAAGAGTAAGAGCGGAAAAAATATAAAATACTTGTAAACACTTTTAAATTTTTTTATCAAGCTGTCAAATCACACACAAATTTTAAGTCAAAATTAACAAAACAAAAAGAACTGATTAGAAACTATCACCACCAGACTTTGTTAAAGACCCAAATATTCGGTAGGAAAACAAAAAAAGAAATTATTTGTACAGTCATCGACCAGATTACATTTGACAGCTCAACGACTATCACAACCTATCCCTTCTTCTTCTTGTTCATTTTTTTACGGTTCTTCTGGTAGTCTTCTGCAAAGTGGATGGTGTGGTCGATGACGAGCGCTCTCTCTTTAGTGACGGTAGTGTACACCTCGCTGTAAAGGTGGTAAGTGCCCGGTCGCATCGGAACGGGCACGTTGGGGGGAGGTATCTCGATGTCGTAGTAAGAGAATGTACCCTGAAAATGAAGACGAACGTCTACTTTGGCTATACTGGTTGTGTTACCTTCTCCAGACGTAAATGGTCATGCTTTACAAACTTAGGGCTCTTTCCCACGGAAACCCAGTTTAGCGGGATTCAGTAATACAGGATCCTGCAAGACTGGAATGTCGTGTGAAGAACACACATAAAAATGTGTATTTGAAATTCGAATTAAAACACTTAGGCTGGGTTGCACCATTTTACTTTAGCTTTAACAGACGTCACAAATCTGTCAATTTCCATACAAAAAACACCGGTTATCGTGTTATCAACAGTCAAAGTTAGGTGGTGCAACTCAGCCTTATAGGTACTAGTACCAGTACTAAACGGGATCCTGCACACACAAAACCTTGTTTAATCAATTGCCTATTGAGTAAAGCAGGCTAAATAAAATTTGGTTTAAATTGGGAATCTCCAATGAATTTTTCACATAATAATATGTAAGGAAACACAAATCTTGGATCGAAATTGGTGAATCATCGTCATTTCTGCTGAGCATAGGTCTCCCTCAATGATTTACATATCGCCCGGTTGGTAGCGGCCTACAACCAGCGACTTACTGCTACCTTAATTTATGAGGTCGTCGGTCCATAATATCATGTGGGCCATAAATTGTAAAACTAGTGAATAGTGAAGATTGATTCATGAAACTTTACCGGTGGCGCTGGGCACGGCATTCTTCCGATGCTTTTCTGGAGCATTGCTTGCACCCAGAATTGTCTGAAGTAGTCGCAAAGCTTGTGCTCGACCTTGAATCGAATGCCTTTATAGGACGTGAAAATTCCTGCCTGCAATAACAAACAACAATAACAAGTGATATTTAGAAAGAAAAAGCAAAGAAAATAGGCACACTTAATTCCGTTCTTTTCGAATATTTTTAAACAATTTTTAATTTTAATAACAATCGACCATCTTTACTCCAAGATATAATTATAATACTTGAATAAACTTATTTTAGATGATCCCGACGATGTTTTCCTTTTTGTATTCCAATACCACGTTTAATTTCAGCTCAATGAAACTTCAGAATATGGGTTTTTATGAATTAAAACCCCATAATCAAAATACTTATAAACTTATTTTAGATGATCCGGACGATGATGTTCTTTTTATCTTCCAATAACACCTACGTTTGATTTCAGCTCAATGAAACTTCAGAATATGGGTTTTTATTCATAACATTTCACCATTTAACGTCAAAACAGGTGTAACTAAGTAGTGTGTAGACTACACCAAACCCACCAACCTGCCGACATAATACGTCGTCGACTTTTGTCAAAAGTCATAGAAAGTACATGTCGTCGACATGATTCTTTTGAAATGCAGCCACTGACACCAAGCCGTCCGGCTCGCAGCTTGGTGTGTAGAGTCCTTAAATTACTAATGTTTTATTCAAACTTGAACCTTATTTAAGCTGCATTTGAATNACCGGCAGACAGTGGTGACTGAGTTTGTTGCGGCGCTTCTTCTCAGCACTTGCCAAATGTTGGTCTCGAAGCGCTGGTAGGGTAAAAAGATTATGAGACATGTAGAGGCTCCTTAAGAGCAAAATGACGATTTGTAAGAACTATTTATTAGTCTAAACAAATAAAGAAATTTTGACTTTGACTTTGACTTTGACTTTGATAAGTAATAATTGTTGAGAAGAAAAATCTTACTTAAGTTAGATTATACTAAGCACTATTCAAGTTTCAGACTTGACGTGGTAATATGATTGTTGCAAAGGTGTTTGCTGAAAACAAGAACTTTTCTAGTTTAATAGTGACTTACAAAATTCCACCAATCCATACCTACTTAGTCCTCAAATACCTTAAAGCTAAACACTTACCAAGTCAGAAAACATTGAAGATACAAGATAATTCTGAGCATTGTAATAATTGAAACATACCTTATCCACACAAGACACCACCGATATAGCTGTTGAGAAGATTAAAACTTCCAAAATACTAGAAGCCTTACCCGCCATGGCTTACTGAATATTTGCACTAAATCATGTTCATGATAAACAAGCCATTAGCAAATCATTGCGAATGCAATCGTTACATCAAAATCATTATAACGCCATTATAAAGCTTAATGTTTGAACTAAAGTAGAACATGTTTAATAATAACCTGATGATATAGCCATTAACGTTGGATGACCTAGTGGTTAAAAGCCGACCTTCCTATAAAGGTCTGAAGATTCAGGAATGTATTCCTGAAGAAATCACGAAGACTCCACTCTTAAAGTAACTGTACCTCCTGAAAGAGGCTTTAAAGTGAAATATAAATACTAAAGTCTATCCTATTATCCATTAAGTGTATATTCCCACTATACAAACGAATAACAGGAATACGCGCCAAGCTGATTATCTGATTTAAAGAAATACAAGATAGAATGCGGGGGTTAAGCTGCTGGAAAACTCTTGGTACCTAATTGTAGTGTAAGTTTTTTGACCCGACATCTCCGCCTTTATAAAGTCCTTGTCACCGACGTATGGACAAGAATACGTGAATATACTGTAGGTAGCTAACTATGACAAATTAAAACTAGGAAGCTAGAGATTCTGTGATTAAAATGGAATAAAGAGAAAGAAAGACGTCCACTGCTGGACAAAGGCCTCCCCCAAGGATCAGCAGTGGACGTCTTTCGGCTGAAACGACGAAAGAGAAAGAGCGGAAAAACACTTTTTTAAATTTTTATCAAGCTGTCAAATCACTAAGTAATTTTAAGTCAAAATTAACAAAACAAAACAACTGATTAAAAACGATCACCACCAGACTTTCTTGAAGCCCCAAAATATTCCGTAGGAAAACAAAAAAGGAATTATTTATACAGTCATCGACTCTACTAATTATTATCCAGATTACATTTGACAGCTCAACGACTATCATCACCTATCCCTTCTTCTTCTTGTTCATTTTTTTACGGTTCTTCTGGTAGTCTTCGGCGAAGTGGATGGTGTGGTCGATGACGAGCGCTCTCTCTTTAGTGATGGTGGTGTACACCTCGCTGTATAGGTGGTACGTGCCCGGTCGCATCGGGACGGGAACGTTGGGGGGAGGTATCTCGATGTCGTAGTAAGAGAATGTACCCTGAAAAGGAAGACGAACGTCTACTTTGGCTATACTGGTTGTTACCTTCTCCAGACGTAAATGGTCATGCTTTGCAAACTTAGGGCTCTTTCACGGCAACCAAGTTTTGCGGGATTCAGTAATACAGGATCCTGCAAGACTGGAATGTCGTGTGAACACACATAAAAATGTGTATTTGAAATTCGAATTATAACACTTAGGCTGGGTTGCACCATTTTACTTTAGCTTTAACAGACGTCACAAATCTGTCAATTTCCATACAAAAAACACCGGTTATCGTGTTATCAACAGTCAAAGTTAGGTGGTGCAACTCAGCCTTATAGGTACTAGTACCAGTACTAAACGGGATCCTGCACACACAAAACCTTGTTTAATCAATTGCCTATTGAGCAAAGCAGGCTAAATAAAATTTGGTTTAAATTGGGAATCTCCAATGAATTTTTCACATAATAATATGTAAGGAAACACAGATCTTGGATCGAAATTGGTGAATCATCATTATTACATCACTCTACTGCGAACATAGGCATCCCCCAACGATTTAGGTACATATCGCCCGGTTGGTAGCGGCCTGCATCCAGAGCTTTTCTGCTACCTTTATGAGGTCGTCGGTCCACCTTTGGGCTATTAATTGTAAAACTGGTGAATAGTGAAGATTCATGAAACTTTACCGGTGGCGCTGGGCACGGCATTCTTCCGATGCTTTTCTGGAGCATTGCTTGCACCCAGAATTGTCTGAAGTAGTCGCAAAGCTTGTGCTCGACCTTGAATCGAATGCCTTTATAGGACGTGAAAATTCCTGCCTGCAATAACAAACAACAATATCAAGTGATATTTAGAAAGAAAAAGCAAAGAAAATATGCACACTTAATTCCGTTCTTTTCAAATATTTTTAAACGATTTTTAATTTCAATAACAATCGACCATCTTTACTCCAAGATATAATTAAAATACTTGAATAAACTTATTTTAGATGATTCCGACGATGTTTTCCTTTTTGTATTCCACGTTTCATTTCAGCTCAATGAAACTTCAGAATATGGGCACCAAAACAGGCGAAGCTAATGCAGTCTACATACCAAATCCGCTAACCCACCGACATGAGTCTTCGACTTTTGACATAATATTATTGTCCATAGTTAAAGACATGATTTTTTTGCAATGCAGCCGCTGACACCAAGCCATCGGACTCTCAGCGGGCTTGGTGTATAAGTCCTTAAATTACTATTGTTTTATTCACACTTGAACCTTATTTAAAAGAACTTACAGCAGTAAAATTGTTTGCGATGTAGACGATGGTGGTGAAGCTGTAATTGGTGAAGAGCCTCTCCACGCCAGCCACGACGCGCGGCGTGGTCACCACGGAACAGTGCGAGAAGTACTTGGGGTTGCAGTAGGACAGCTTGCCGACTCCATAGCTTTGAGTCTCCTATGAACATGGAAATCGAAAGTGGTCGAACGTGTTCTAGATACAGTTCCCTAATAATTACCCATGACCAATACAATTCCGATACCATTTGCCTACAATTTTTTTCATAATTTTCATTACATCATTCTCCATAAATACAGCCATAAGACGTCCAACGCTGAATATAGGTCTCTCTAATAGTCTTCATATTTGAGAGTAAAATAGGTTTACATCGCTTTCATTATCTCCTTCGTTCGTTTCACAATTCACATTTTATTATAATCACTCTGATGAGTGAAGTTTTCGCTCAAAGTAGGTATTTAGGTGCCTAAATATTCATTTAAAAAATATTTGGGTTATTCCGTAAATGAATAAAGGATCTTAATAGTTAAGAAATCAGCACTTACTTTGACAATACCAGCTACAATCGATATTGCATAAAGAAGTACGAAAGCACCCAAAACACTAGCGGTCTTACCCGCCATGCTTAGCCAAATATGTCAACTATAGCTAATATGGTCCCGTAGGTACATAAGACAATGGCAAATCACAATCATGGCGATTATCATCAGAACATCATTATAAACCTGAAAATCCTTAATGTTTCGAGATCGCTGAACTTGAAAAGGGCACACAATTTAGCTACATAATGATTGAGTCATTACATCGAACGCCTACCTACGTTGTCGGTGATTAGAATTTGTGCCGAAGATCAGTTCAAAAAGTAAATTTCTTTTATTCGACCTTGGTGAAAAATTCGTTGATGATCCATCTTTTCGAACAAAATAATAAGGACAAACAATCGATTGGAAAAGGTTTGGAAGACATTTATAGACCTTCTATAGCGATATAATCTCGATGCAGCGGCGATACAGTTGGTTTTCGTTTACATCGAGCACACCTACGTAATTATATTGTATTTTGGTGTCCTGCAACTTTGGAGAGAGGTCAGGAAGTCCTTTGTCTTAAAAAAATATATCGGGAGCAATGTGACTTGCTTGTATTATTATGTATTCCACAAGAATTTCCTATCTATGTTTACAGGTATGTACTTCTTACATAAGCTTGTCCTATAACACAAACCTTTGACCAACAAACAGGTGCCACCACTCGATAAAATATACTTTCACTGACACCATTTTATGTTTAGAATCTTCATTCTACAATAATTTTCCTTGCGGTACCTAACTATAGTAATATTTCATATACTATTTTGGAATGAAGGTAAAGCTGCGAGCAAAAAATATTATGATATTTATTTAATGATTAAAAACAGTGGGTCAATGAGAAATGTTAAGAAACAGTGTCTGTACTTATACATTTTGGCCGAGAATTTGACCTTTCTGTGGCCCTTCCAAGGTCTTCAACACTACCAATGGAACTGATTACTGGATTGTATAAACAAGTCGCTTATTAAAATATCTTCGAACGTGTCTCCTAAAGTCGGAAGTGAATTCAAGACAAAGCAATTTTCTGCATGCTCATACTGTGCGCAAGAGTTGTTGGTAAATATTTCTTGTAGCACTGATTCATCACACGATGGTACTACACATTTACGATCCTTTGTTTTGTTTGCAGTATCATGTAAAAGAGAGCAAATATTACGAAGGCAAGTAATTAACATAATTTTCCCAAGTTTTTAAATAAGTGCTTATAAGTAATGTTATGCTTCTTGAAATAATACCTTTGAAAAATATATTTTAAAATCACCAATGTAGAGGAAAATGAGTCGACTTCGATGGAAAAACGAGTCGAGATACAATAGTAGTATCTTCAGTCCTTTTTGCCTTGATATAAAAAATCAAACAGGTTGTCGTATTTATTTTATTTTTCCCGGAGCAGTAACCGTGTGGTGCCCTCTTTGTTATGTTGTGTTGAAGAAGCAGTTTAGTTCAAAAATGTGTGACACCAAAGCCAGGATGGATGGCAAAGTGGTCATCGTGACAGGAGGCAGTTCCGGGATGGGCTACGAAGCTGCTAAAAACTTGGCAGATCGAGGCGCTAAGGTTATAATCGCAAGTAGAAATGAGACTAAACTTAGAAGAGCTAGAGACGAAATTCAAAAAGACACAGGCAACACTAACGTTTCATACGGGATAATTGATTTAGGATCTCTGAAATCAGTGCGAAATTTTGTCAGTGAAACCGTAAATGCTGAACAACGGCTGGACGTTTTGATCAACAACGCCGGAGCTATTGGTTTGCCTGACAAAATGACTGAAGACGGTCTGAATCTGACTATGCAAGTGAACTACTTCGGGTCTTTTCTATTAACGTATCTATTGCTGCCTTTGTTGAAGAAATCAGCTCCGAGTCGGATTATAGTCGGTTCCGCCGCATCAATGTACATTGGAGAAATCGATTTCGACCATTGGAATGACGTTGGGAGATACAACTGGGTGCAGAGTCTTTCAAATTCTAAGCTGGCGGATGCATTATTTGCGGTTGAACTTGGAAAAAGATTGAAAGACAGCGGTGTCACTGTAAATAGTTATGACCCTTTCGTGGTTCGAGATACGGATATTTTGGCTAATATTCCAGGATGGATTGGAAGTATTTCCAAACCTTTCATAGACATAATTGGTCAGTCCAAAGAAGATGTTGGGAAGCAAATCGCGTATCTAGCAGCAGATCCTAGTATGGAAAAAGTTAGTGGCCAACATTTCAAATTTTGTCGAAAGTGGTTAAATCATTGGCTCACTAGCGATACGGTGTTATCGAAGAGGCTGTGGGATTTATCGAAGAATCTAACAAAGATAACTGAAAAAGAAGATTGGGAACGTAGTTGATTGAATTTTGCACAAAATAGCCTTCTGTGTTCATATTTCTAAAATTACAGAATTTACTCTTAATTATATTTTTTTTTATTTAGATACTAATAGTATAAATGATAATATTTTAATCAGGCCAGTATCATTTCTTTTTAAAGTTGTAGACTTGTAGTATTTGCTTGCTACTATGGTGAGAATATTTTAAAAACCATTTTGTTGTGATTATGCTTAATTACAACATAATTATATTATCCTGTTTTACATTAATTATAAAACCACACGACAAACATTAAAATATTGGGATTTATTACCGCTGAGCTAACTTATTGATCCGAAGTCCGAACTTATACACTTCCTATAAGAAATCTGTGTACGTTATTACTAGTGACGCAAGACAGGTCGAAGGTTCAATACTCGGCCCGATCCGGTACTGGGCTAAGATTCTTGTACAGTTGTAAGCGAATTATGTGTTTGTTTCTAATCACATAAACAATTCCATGACTTTAGGGCTGTCATTTTATACTTGATTCACCATCATCATTATTTCAGCTACAGGACGTCCACACTGTTAAACATACACCGGATGAGACGTCCACCCACAAGGTGGACCGACGACCTCATAAAGGTAGCAGGAAGGCGCTGGATGCAGGCCGCTACCAAGTACCAACCGCGCGATATGGAAATCATTGTGGGAGGGATGATACTTGATTATCAAATCAAATATAATTAAAAATAGCTTCAGTAAAATCTTAATTCGGTTTTTCTTTGTAGCAAACGGACATCACAATATTCACAATGGAAAAATAATCCAATATGAGTTAAATACATTACATACATAAAATACAAAATAGTTAATGATGTTTATGTGTTTTTGCAACGCAAAGCTATGTGACCTCTAAAATAAGTAATTACATATTGCCTCATTATAGAAAACTATGCTTGAGAAAATCTTACCAAAGTAAGTAGTAGATCATGCCATAATAAGGACGGACAACTCATTAGCTCATTATCGAGCACCTATGTAGATAGATTTGCATCTCTACAGTATTAAAGAGGAGGGCTAATGCATAAAATATTATTATGTACATTTTATACTACATACTTATACTTCTTAACCATTTTTTTATTTGCCCTAACACAAAAACAAGGAAAATATTTCAATATTTATATTAGTGTTAAAATATAGTTTTTGCAAAGTTTGTAAATTATTTCAGTAATAACATAGCTATCAAATTCATGGTCATTTCATGTTTTTTTAATTTCAGCTAGAAACCCTAGAGTCATCTGAATTTCAATGATCATCCAGACAGCAGTGTAGTAAAATCGAAAACACTAATCGGAGGTGATTTGGAAAGGTGTATGTCCAGTGAACTTCCATAATGACGGCAATTACAAATACGTCATAATACTTCACGCTCTGCTTCACAATTAACTAACGCAGCTGGAGTTGCAGTTGGTACAGACGACATATCAGATTATACATCTTTATTGCAAAATAGCACGTATTACAACTGAGTAAGATATCGGAGTATAGCTTGACGTGCTTTGGTACTTTTAGGGACCGTACCTTAAAAGGAAGCGGAACCCTTAGGGCCCTCGCCCACGGCGACATTTACGTTTACGAAACGCGTGACGCTACCAACGCACGTTAGTCGCATTTGCAACGCACTACAGAAGTGATGCCAACGCGCTACTAACGCGCTACAGCAGCGCGACTGCATCGCTACAAAAAGTCGCCGTGGGCGAGGGCCCTTATAGGATCACTTTGTTGTCCTTCTGGCTGTCTATCAAGACCCTTTTTCTTCGGAACGAGTGTAGGTATCAAGCTAAAATTAATATTTAATCAGGTCTACTTTCTCTTTGAGCTGTTAAAAAATGAAACTTCTAAGCTAATGCAATCAAAAGATACAGCCGTTTATGCCGACGACCAAGGGAATCAACCCTACATGGTACTTCCCGTGAACTCAGAATCTTGAAATTCGGTAAGACGAAGCAACGACTTATAACACAGATAAAGGAACAATTGCGAATTTACTTACTCGTATATACCTACCTACAGGTTTGAAAGTTTAACTTTCCCCCGGGACAAACTTGACCTTCATTGGTTAGGTTTTTTGGCGGTCAAGCTGTAGATCCTGCTACACAGGAGTTTCAGCGGTTGGAACGAGATGTGGGAATAGTCCCGTACCTACATGTTTGTACGGAACTCTCAGTGCGCGAGTCTGACTCGCACTTGGCAAGTTTTATTTA